CCCCCAAAACCCCAAAACCCCAAAACCCCTCTTTTAATAGAAATATGGAAGAAACTGGCAATATTTTATTTAAAAAATGAAGGCGACCAGCATAATCCTTCTATCGTGCATCCTGGCAATAGCCATAGCAGGTGAGCTAAGAGAGCACCTAGCTTCACAGTTTAGTGTAAAATGTGTACATACATTGGGCTTCACGTTCTTCAACCTAGAGCCACTCAAGAAGAAAGGGTAAGTTTTTCAGTACAAACTTTGTAGGGATGGTGAATTTTATACAGTCAGAAGAGAGCTCTCAGACGGTAAGGAATACGAAGTCAATTTCGACTTCTGTGAAACTTTACCAGAAGTGAGAGCATGCAAAGATGTGAATCCAATGGCTGTCGAGTATGATGTCCAAGAAGAGTTCTCAAACTCCTGTAGACAGCTTACTAAGCATCAAGGTAAAAATAAGGAGACCACTCTTGAAAACACAGAGGGAGAAGACTCTGATCAATTTATTGAAATCGTCCATACAAGTAGCCTTAATTGCAAGAATGATGAGAAGTTCGGAATCACTTTCGAAATCTTCTGTGATGAAGAAAAGAAAGAGATTCCTGAATTTGTTGAGAACCCAAGCAGGTCTTCTGACTGCAGACCGGTGTTCAGGACTCATCATTATGGAGGCTGTAAGGTCGGAGACCTTAATGCTCTATGGAGATTCGTCGAGAGCAACAGCATCATTTTTGGTATTGTTGCAATGTTTATTGGCTTATATAATTTGGTACTCGGAAGAAAGTTTATCAAGCCAACAATCGGTCTAATAATGCTCATCACAGTAGTCGCTGTAATCATGTTTGTATTCTATGTTATCTTTCTTCCAAGAGATACTGCAAAATGGGTGGGGTGGTTGATCCTGTCCATCTCTATTGTCCTAGGAGGAATTGCTGGATTCTTCTCATCCAAACTTGTCCGTATCGGAGTGATAGTTCTTGGGTTCTGGGCTGGAGTAGGAATCGGACTTCTTCTAAATAATCTGATATTTTTCAGAATCAACCATGTTTCGGTACTATGGGTATTGATGGGAGTTTTCGGACTGGCATTTGCAATTATGTCATTCTTCTGGTATAACTACATTGTGATCATCTGTACATCAATCCTTGGCTCTTACTTCTTTGTGAGAGGTATAGCTCTTATGGCTGGAGGATATCCAAATGAGTTCACCATATATGGAAACATAGCCTCAAAAACATTTGAAGGTATGCCAGCTACCTTCTGGGTTTATGTTGCAAGCATGGTAGTTGCATGTGCTCTTGGTATCTTTATACAAATCAAAATTAAAAGAAGAGAAAATAAACCGGAAACAGATGATGTATACAAAAGAGTATAAATATTTTAGCGGTGCTTAAAGCCTAATATTGTCTGAATTATGTCAATAATAAGTCTAAAAATAGGGGTTTTGGGGTTTTGGGGTTTTGGGGTTTTGGGGTTTTGGGG